GTAGAATGTGTGTGACTTTGGCAAAATCTGCTAATCTGTTCCTTGTAAATTTTCACACAAACTGGATAGATTATTTAATATTAATAACACAAGCCCTACTAGTTTGATCCATTTTTTCTCCTCTGACTTAACTGAGAAGAAAATTTTTAACTGTCTTAAAGTAGGCTACAAAAATTACCTTTTCTAGAAATCATTGTACATTGTGGCACTTATTTGTTTATGTATGTGTCTCCCCAACTGAAGGTAACTTCCTTGATTGCAAGCATTGAACTTTATTTTTGCAGCCCTAGCCCAGGATTGGACACAAAAATGCAAGCACAGTTACTGCATCAAACTTAGCCACCGTTTTGAAAAACCAAAAGATCTTATCTAAACTGTGCATTTTAATCAAATCCTGGCAGAATATAGGAAACATATGGCTATTCTTTTAAATTATCCTTTGCCAAATGTGTTTTACAGCAAAACAAAACTAAAACATCTCACAAAATTTTCCTTAATGTATTATTATACCTAACCATATGAAATCAACACAGAAGTTGAATCTAATATCCCAATTTTACCAATGAGAGGGAGAAGTTGCAGTTGTGTGTGTGTGTGTGTCTGTGTGTGTGTGTGTGTGAAAGCTAAGAGTTTTTGTGCACATGAAATGTATCATGAGAATTAAGTATACCCTGATAATGAAATATGCACAAGCTTGGCCCTTGCCAAAGTTTTCAGAGTGCTTACTTTTCGCAGCAATTCCCTGGATCTTATCTTTGTGAACCTGTCAAGATGGTAAATTTCTTAGGAATAGGGACTCTGACAACTTTGGATCTTCCAGCCAAATACAAATACAATACAAGCTCAATAAATATTTGATAAATCACATTCCAAATCTGCATTCTTTATGATCAGTTTTCCTACTGTATGATTTCAGAGAGTGATAGGGTAAAATGTGTGTGTAATCCCTTCCTGAGGTGTTGGCATTTTAGTAAGGAAAACAGCTTTAAGCTAAAGAAATGAAACCATATGGCATTTCAGGCATTCTGAAGATGATGGAAGACATTCTGAGAGGTGAGATAGTATTCCTTAGCTCCCTGTTATACCTGGTAATAGGTCTGTGGTGCAAATGGTGCCAAGAATAGTTCATGGTGGATTTTCAATTGCTTAAAAGTAGGACATAGGCCATGATTATTGCTTTTTGTTGTTTTCACAGATCAGCTCTGGTCTCCTCTCTATTTCTCATACTGAAGCTCTTCCTCTACCCCCACCACAACAGAAAAACACCTCAAAACTTTGATTATCTATTATAAGGTTGCTCTTTTCTTAAAAAACAAAAATTCCAAAACAGTTTACATTTGGAAGCACTCTTTGCCCCCTTATCAATGGTTCTTGAACATATTGCCACACAAGATTTCCTATGTTATGTAGATCAGAGGAATTTTCTTAAGTGTCCTTGAAAAATATAATAGGAAATAAATTAACTGCTGAGCATCTATCTTGTATAAAGTTTTGAGGTTGACTTGATTTATTAGATTAAGGAAAAACTGTTCTGTAATTCTGATTCCATTTTAATCAAATTATTATAAGCGCCCTTTGGGGCATTTTGTGGAAAAGATAGATGAAATAGTGTACCCAGTCAAAAAACTGAAGGATCCCTTCCACCTGAAAGTTACATACTGCTCAACAAACCGTATATTTTTATTAAAACATGAACTACTAGTAAGGGCACTGAATAGTGTTACGACTCACTGAAGCCAAAGTGGATAGCATGGCTTTTACTTACATATCATTCACAGTGGCAATTATCTCTTTTTATGTTAATGAAGAAAATAAAATAGAGTATAACTCTCAAATTTTATCTACTTTTGACTTCAAGTATTTCTTGTTTAACTTGGGAGTGATGCATTTATATTATTTGAATATAGATTTTTGTCTTGCAATTTGGGAGATCATACTACTTTAAACAAAATTACACTGGTGTGACTTACCTTTAGAAAGCTAGTGAAAAGTTGCTTAGCTTATTTGATCTGAGAGTGACTTCCTTAATACCCCATGCTGCTAATTAGGAAACCATCTCAGAATGGCGGTTGGGACTAACCCTAATCAAGAGACCCCATCATTTTGTTTAATGCCTAGTTTACTCCACCCTTGATGGAAAGGTTATAGTTAAGTCAGGGGCTATATGACAATATCTTATTCATGTTGATACTCCCAGAGCTGGCTTAGTTCCTGGCTCATAGCAGGTGTTCCATAAATGTTTGTTCAATACAACTGAATTACCTTGAATACCTTGGGTACAGGATTCTTAACCAGGGGCCTAAATTAGAAATACTGGAAAATAGTTTGAAAACAAAAAGAGAGATGAGGTATGGTTATGTGTATTTGTTAAAAAATTCTCAAGTGACACTGATAAACCACCTTAGTTATGAAACATTGATCTAAGTGCTAAACTATTTTTGTGAAAAATTCTAATAGCTTGATCACCTGGATATTTCTAATTATTTTCATGAGGTGTTTATTTCTAAAATGAATAGACTGGTGATTTTCAAAATTTGTGTGAGCTTTTGAGGCCTTTAGCCTCCAAACAATATCTTACGTCAAACCCAAATATGGTCAATTGTCATTTTTATTCATGAATTTCACCTTTGAAAATTTGTTTTTTCCTATAAATTATTTGTAACCCCCAAATCAATACTAGCAAATTCACTATCATTCACAGACACTCACAGAGTGTCCAGAAATTGGAGTCACCTGATGTGCAGCTCCCAGCTGAGGTTAAACAAGGCAATGCTCTGTGCCTTCTTGTTTCAGTTCTCATACTATAAACAAATGTCCTTTTTGTGATCTATTTATTGCCAAGATTTTTACATTTTTATGAATTTTGTTGGTGATTTTACTGTTTTAAATAGCCACCCAAGTATAATATTGAAGTGCTGTATGGTGTTCCTAAGTACAAAAAAGCGGTGATGTGACTTACAGAGAATATGTGTGTGTCAGTGAAGTTTTCTTCAGGTAGAAGTTATAGTGCTATTGACAGATTTCAGTGTGAATGAAGCAACAACATACGTTAAATAAGGTGTCTTTAAACAAAACACATAAAACAAAGTTAGCTATCGTTTGCTGGATGAAAATGTTGTGACCAGAGGCTTATAGGAACCTAACCATGTGTTTCCCCTAGGAGCAATGGCTCACTATTTGCTATTTCAGTTTTTGAAGCAACTTTATAGACCATAACTACTGAAAATAACAATAATTAACTGTATATAAAATTTGAAGCCAAAAATTGCTCTGGGTGACAAAGGCATAAGACCATCATCTTTGTTCTCTTCCCATCTCCTTCTCCCCACGTGACAGCCTCCAAACCGTATGCTTAATTTCTGGATCCAGAAGGAATAGGACTTTTAAATAAGAATAGTCTTCCAAATGAATCCAGAGTAACAACTGAATTTCATATTTTAGTTATATATTTGGATGTTAGGTAAATATAGCAAGTACTTGCTTAGAAAATACAAAACTAGCATTATATTAAATCAAATAATCCCAGTTAGGAAGGTAATCAGGTGGGGGGAAGGGAAGCCAGTGCTTTTCTGAGCCAAATATAAATTACTTTTAGATTAGCTGGTGTTTTTAATTATCTGCACCACTGTACCACTTTGGTCAGAATCAGAGGTTGATTCTACCTCTGACAATGCCATATCTGCCTTCTCCTGGGCCCAGGGGGCTTTTCCTTATGTTCAATAAACCCTGATAGAAAAGGAAACACAATATAATGTCTGTTGGCTCAGCACAACAGGTTCTGAGTAAATGAATTACTATTCTTATGCATTAAATAAAATGCATGGTTTGGAAAAGGTTGCTACAGTACTGAAAGTCACTTCATGGCTATCTTGCTTTTTAAGGAAAAGGCCTAAAATGCAGTCAAATTCAAAATAAGAAGCAACATAATGTAAAACAGAGTATTTGGTAAAATAATAGTAAAGCAAATAACTACTCCCTAATACCTAAGATTTTGAATGCTAAATTCTGTTGTCATTATTGTTGTTGTTATAGTTGTTAAGAGATCAGCACAGCTAAGTACCCTCAGTCAGGCATCCTCAACTGGGGGCATTTTGCTCCCCAGGGGAGATTGGGCAACATCTGGAGACACTTTTGATTGTCAAGAGTGTGTGGGAGATGCTACTAATATCTAATGGATAGAAATTAGTTATACTGCTAAACTCCCAACAATATACAAGGCAGCCCCCACAACAGCAACAAAAAACTACTCCAAAATGCTAATGTACCAAGATGAAAAATCCTATTCCGGGAGTGACTAGTGAATAAAAGTATTCCGTTATGCAGTATAAGCAATGGTTATTTCTATACAGACAACAATATTGATCTGACCCTTCCAAGGGTATAGCTCCTATATCTGCATTGAGTTCTCAGCAAGGATGCCATCCTAATCTCTGTGCCCAGAGAGGGCTTGATCCCAATATGTAAACCAAGGCTCCCATATGAAAACAAAAGCATAAACAGCAGCTAGGCTCAGCATACCTCCTGGGTTTAGACGTGAAATTTATCACTTGACTCTCTCCTCTTTACTGCTAAAGGGACATCATCAACAAATCAGAGAATTTCAGGAGAAGCATTAAAAATATCTGGGTTATTTGCTTCATTGACCATAGAAAAGGGGCCATAAAAGTCATGCATCAAATCCCTAGATAGTGCCTAAGATTATGAGTCTGACTAATTGAAGGAAAATGATCCCATCTGTGTAAGTCTCCAGAATGTAACAAGGAAGAACATTTTGTGGACTAGTTTTCCACTGGCTTATTTGGCTATTTACATGTAATACCAGTGATCTGTGCATTCACTCTGATTTGTGGGTATAGCGGGTGGCACATGTTTACAGATGCTTGGGAAACTGCCTTGCAAGCTGAATGTAGATACTTTGGCTTCTTTTCACATTTACTCTGTGTTCACTGCCAGATCTTCACCTGTGTCTTCCTCTGAGTATCTTCCTTTCTTTCTGACAGGTGAGCTGCAAGATTTTGCATTTTTTCCACCAGTACATGATGGCCTGCAACTATTTCTGGATGCTCTGTGAAGGGATCTATCTTCATACACTCATCGTCATGGCCGTGTTTACTGAGAAGCAACGCTTGCGGTGGTATTATCTCTTGGGCTGGGGTATGTATTTTCTGCAGCTAAGTTTTGAGCCACTTTCACCTCTGTCTGTATGCTTTCAGTCTTCTTCTAGTCTTGGTCTCAGAGAATAGAGTAAAGTCCCAGGTCCTTCAAGGAATGATGGAACACAGGTACTGGCAGGAGTTCAGTCTCCAAAAGACTTGTAGAAGCCCTTTAACAATCTCAATCCAACTGTGCTGAACATGAGGGTCTGCACAGAGAAGGAAAGTATGACTATAAGGGTGACTGCCAAAGGGTGGCTTCAGGGAACAAACTTAGCTAATAATGGACACAAAACATTCCCTTATTGAGAGAAGATCTGATTAGGCCTCCTTCTGCTTTATTCATCACGTTTGTAGAGCAAAGGAGAATTTCACCTTTTGAATTATGTACCTCCCCTATCCTGGCTTCATTTTCCTTCCTCAAGAACATTTCTTCCTGTCAATCCATCAGCAGGATTCCTCCAGTGAAAGCTCAGGAAGCGGAGTCCAGCTGAGAGGCAGATACAACCACATGGGCTTCCAAGTAGAGCCAGTGTGACATCACAGCACATGGCAATGGCTCGAGAAAGCTTAAGGCTGGATTGTTTAAGCTGTGGCTGCTTCTGTACAAACTAAGGGAGGGTGCTGAAATCCTTCAGGGATGCTCTAGAGTTACTCACTTTCCCCCAGGGCTGCTGAAAGTCCAGATCCCCCCGGTGGAAGGGAACTGAACAGAAGGTGAGGCAATGAAAGAAAATTAAATGCTGCGATAAAAACACCTACTGCCTTATCAAAAAAAAGTTTCAGCCTTACCTTGAAACTTCTATACCAGAGGAGGAACTCGCGGGCCATCCCTCACTGACTATAGAGCCAAAGGCTTCTCTCACCACATCCACACCACATGATGGGTGACTGTGACTCTGAGAGCAGAGGCTGTGGATGGCCTTCAACTAAGCTTGCCCTTTAATGCAGCAGGCTGGGGAGTCCCTCCAAATACTGGTAAGAGAGGAGAGATGAAGTGAGGAGGGAGGATAATCCAAGGGATTTTTAAAAACATCACCCTTTGTATTTAAAGCCCTGCCCAACAGGCATTGTCACCAACTTTATAGAAATGTGCTTGGGAAGTCATATAAGCAGCCTGGAGTCTTTTGTGCAGTCTGCAAACTGCAGAAAGGGGCTGGTGTTATGCCATACTGGTTTCCGTAACACCCTTACATGACAGGAGTACATGGTTTTAACCAAATGCATTCCCCAAACCCAATGGGATAATCCGATAATGGTGGGTCAGTGGGGCAGATAGGCGGGATGCCTCAAAATTGAATTGATGATGCCACAATTATCTGGTTGCAAGCAACAGAGTAAGATGTTCTAACTTAAGCAAATGCAGAGAAGTTGTCAGAATCTAATGTATCTCATGGAATCCAAGGGCAGAAATACAGCCAGGCAACTAAAAGGGCTGTAGCCTGGGACCGGATAAACCAGGAGCTCTCTCCCTCTGCCTTTTGTCTTTGTTTTTCCTCTGCGTATCTGTTTTTACCCTTCTCTTTCTTTACAGACCATAGACCACAGGGTCTCTGTTCCATCCAGTTCATAGTAAATATATCCTGCCCCATCGTTTCCTGAGTACACATGTTTCTGTTCTAGGCACTCACAGAAACTAAATGCTTATCTTTAAGTTCCAGTTCTGAATAGCAGGACAAGAGAATCTGATTGATCCAACTGTAGGCAAATAGCCTACCCTGGTTCAATAAACTGTGGCCAAGAAAATTGAGGGGGATGTTGTCACATAGTGTGAACATGTCTAGGGATGGTGAACCCTCCAGAAAAGGACTGAGAAATGGGTCTTTGTGAACTGTACAGGCTGTCTAGGATATGCACCAGATCACCTCATCTGCATGGCTGCTCCCTTACATGGAGCAGCTGTTAAGGAAGCAGCTGCACCCTGTTTCCTTAACCATCCAGTGAGGTTAGAAATGAGGCTATCACTATCCTGCTGGTTCCACATCAGGTAACAAGTTCTCCTGCTCTTTCCTGTCCTAAAATGACAAAATTTTCTCAAAATGGCCTTTTACTATTTATTTTTTGGCTTTTAGCCCCAGCCTTCCAAAGAGACTAATTTTTCCTTTCCCTGGCCTTCTCATCCATATGTACACCCTCTCAACAATTTCTAGACTTCCAAATCTGGTCATGCCAAGAATAGACTCAATACAATTTAATCACTCCAATGGCAGTTCTGATAATCACAATCATAATAATTTGTGCTGATCAAATGCCTTCCAAAGACCTGATAATAACATTCCACCCCAAACACACACACAAACACACACTTTCTACCAGATTTATTTCCTTTGAAATAAAATCTATGGTATATTTCTTCTACTGGTTTTGATTGTTCAAAACATCTATCTGCCACACTCAGAAAATTTTTCATGGGAAAAAAAGGCTGTAAATTTATTATTGTCTGTGACATTCAGCAGAGACAAGGGCACCCTGGAAGGAACAATTTATACTGTTCTTGGAGTATCCTGATGCATTGTGAATTAGTTATAAAACTTTTTGGCATCATCATGGACAGCACAATGAAGATATCTGCTTAAAACACATAAACAATTCAAAGGAAAAAAGGAACAAGCTGCTCAGCTGTATCAAAAACAAAGGCAATCATAATAAGTAAATTCTTTATGTGATACCTTAAGCTTCTGTAATCAACAACTATTTAAAACTTCATTAGAGTGATTCAAGTAGAATCCCAAAGAACACTACACTTAGTAAGGTAAGCACAGAATGGAAGTTGCTAATCAATGGTTATACAGATTAAGTAACGCAAGATGAGTAAATTTTAGGTTTCTGCTGTGCAACATTGTGCCTATAGGTAACAATATTGTACTATGCACTTAAAAATCTGTTTAGAGGGCAGACCTCATGTTAATTGTTCTTGCCACAATAATATAAAAATTTAAATTAAAAAAAGAATTAGAAGGATTTGCACTTCTGTAGATAGATTTTTGGAAAGATAGTCAACCAAATAGTTCTAAAATGTAATGTTTTTAGCATGCCAAAGCTAAGACTATCTTTCTACATGCACACACACACACACACCCCAAAATTCCACCAAACTTGTTACCACTGAAAAATCACATTGCCAAATCTGAACTCTGAGAACAAAATTAACCTATTTTAAAGCAATGGCTCCTTTCTTAGAACTTTAAGCAAGCATTATCTTTGGATGAGAGGACAATGGGTAAAATTAATACCAATTAATTTCTCAAGAAAAAACAGCTTCACAGAAACTTTATAAAGTTTAATGGATCAAGAGAATAAATCTCTTCTGGATAATATTTTTATAGTCCTTTGAAAATTTTTTTCACATGAAGACAGTATGATAGGTTCTAAATTTTACAATGCCAGAAAAAAAGCAAAACCTACCTACTTTTAAAAGAGCCTTGAAAGTTAGACTGCAGAAAATTTGGCCCAAAAACGCCCAGTTGTATTATAGCACCTAATTTGTTTGCAGGTGATATAAAGCCCATTCATTTAATTCAGCTGTGAATAATGTTACCAACTCTAGGATTTGAAACCAATCTCAAAGAATTATAAGAGACATTGTAAACATCAGCCACTGGGTGAACAAGTATCTGATGGTGAAATTCTGCCCAACAGAAAATCAAAGAACGGTTCTTTCAGTAGTTACTCCCTTCCAAGTCTACATGGCACCACTTAGTTGTTTATTTCTCTCCAATCGAAGTAACTTCAAAACTGAAGTTTAGCTCTCAGGAAAATCATTTATTTTGCAACCCTCTTCAAACTGTTTCTTCGCCTTGCCTTGCTGGTTTTCCCCTTGTTAAAAATCAAAGGAAGGAAATTTCCCCCATGGATTTCTACATTGAACAAATAGAATTTATTAAATCCCTCTAAAAAATGAACCCTACAGAGACAGGATTATTCTGAATCTCATCATCTTTGGTGAGAAGAATGGGTTGTTATGGATCTTGGGACCTTGAAAAGAATAGAAAGAAAAAAGAAAAAAGAAAAAAACAGAAAAAGAAACTACCTAAAAGGAGGTATCATAGCCAGAGGAAGGCAAAGAGCCCCGGATGTTAAAAAGTGTGGGGTCTATACTCCTCTCCAGATGAAGTAGAAAGCACTTTCCTTTCTACAAAATGGTGAGGTGGGATTCAGTTTTCCATATGCCTCTCTTTCTGTCTAATTCTAAAATATGCATCTCAAAATAAATTCAGAGACTTTTGTTTCTTTTTCTGAGCCCAAGTGGGAAAATGGCATGTTAGAACTGCAGCGAATAACACAATCATGTTTTGTGTAAAGAAACTCAAAATTATTTCAGGCCAAACATTAAATCTATGGTCCTATTAAATATATGCTTCCTGGGTTTAAAAGCTGAGGTTGTTCTCAGGTGAAAATTCAATAGTTTGAGACCTCTTTTTGTATATAACTCACGGAAAATAAAAATGCATTGATTTCATTCTTTCCTAAGACATTTCTTAATCTGATGACAATAACAAAATTTCTTTCTATAGATGTCTCAATCAAATCAAGCAATATTCTATTGTACATCTGAGTAAAAAGACTTATTTTTTCTTTTTTAATGAAAATTACAACTTTAGGTTATACTTATAGAATACAAATTGATTTAAAAATTATAATCTAGAAGGACGTATTCCAATAACTGTCTCCCTTTTCCCGTTTATAAATTTAAAAGTTTGGTTTTTTTTTTTTTTACTAGCACTTTGAGTTTAGTCAGGGAGGTACAGTAAGCTGCCTTCATAAAGTTTCTCTAGCCAGAACCTACAGAAAGTAGGGAATGTACTGGCTTCTCTGAAATATTCATATTAAAAGGAAACAGAATCACTGCATGAGATATAAACAGACAGAAAAACAAAAAAGCCTAGAAGAAAGAATGTGAACATCAGCTAAGGCTTTAGGAGCAATCAGACTATTGCTTTCATACACAGTCCCAGGTCACATCCCTCTGGGGTGACCCAGCTCCTCTCCATGAGAGAGCCCAGGTCACCTACAATGAAAGGCTTTCTGGTCTCAGTTAATAGTCACCATTACGAACATAACAATGGTAATAATAGTCATCGTGTACCTACTACACTCAGCAATTTGTAAAAGGCTTTTAATTATTTGGATGCTCTTAACCAAACTCTCCGGGAGTACATGATGTTCTAACTAGGAACATTTTGACTGACTTGACCAAAGACGATTTTTGTGAAAATATCAGGGGAACATCTTGACAGATACACTCAATTTGCCAGTATTTTTGCAAGTACACTACCATTTTCCATGCAGCTGTACTTAAAGGTTATGACCAAGAAACCAAGTGTAATTTGTACTTTTCACATTTGTAGGGTTTCCGCTGGTGCCAACCACTATCCATGCTATTACCAGGGCCGTGTACTTCAATGACAAGTAAGTATTATGGTAATGTTTAAGTTAATATATTCATGAATAAAATGTATTTGTGTATTAATGTGTCCCCTCGCCCTTTTTCAGCTGCTGGCTGAGTGTGGAAACCCATTTGCTTTACATAATCCATGGCCCTGTCATGGCGGCACTTGTGGTGAGAATTAGTTTTTTACTGCAATGTTAGTAGTGTTATCTCTTAGTTGAGATTTCTGTGTATATGGTTCTGTGTATCATGTTTTATAACTTCAAAATGAAGCTAATTTGATGGTATTCTATAGTAAAAAGAAAAAGCAATTTGATTTTAGAATCTTCAAAAAAATGCCTTTTACTTACACGTGGAGGGGTTATCATGAGCTCATTTTCATTACAGACTCACACTATAACAGCAATGTAGCTCATATTTTAAGACTTTTATAACTAGTCTCCCTAGGTAAAGGTGAGAGGCCAAGGGGCTGCAAGAAGTTTGCTCGTGTTATGAACATCTAGGATCTTTGAAAACTTTGACTTTCCAGAGCTCTAAAAGTCTTTGGTTCTGTGAACTTAAGGTCCAGAAATTCAAATATTCAACACAAGCTCAATTAGTGAGATAGTAATAAATAGTGGACTCCAGCCAAATGTCAGATTCTTCCTGAGGATGCTACGGTTCTTACTTACCTAGGATTCAGTAGACTTGGCCTCATGTCTTAGCTCTATCATCTACCAGCTCTGAAAATTTAGATAAATCAATTAACCTAAAAATGTCCCCTGATTTTTTTAAGGAAAAAGTTAGATTAAATAGTCTTTCAGGTACTTTTGGAAGATAATCTCTAACTCTAGGTCATTAAAACTTAGTACTGCTCCATATCTTTATCTGTTAAAAGTAACAAAAGTGATAATAGCTACTCATAAATTCGTGGTTATAAAATATCTCCTAATAAAATAATAAATGAAGTAAAATATTTAGCAATTATTCTTATATTTAAAATTCTAAAACACACATTTCTTGCCTTAATTATCTAGAAATTTTTAAGGAAATGCAGATTCCAGGATCCAAATTAAAAATGTGTATCTGAGATAATTATATGCATACTTCACTGTGAATGACTATAAATTAACAGAAATTGATACATTTGGAATTCCTAATTTCATGACTAAAGGAAATGCACATTAGTGCATTTCAAAACTAAAAAAAAAAAGATTTATCAATTAATTATCATTTTGAGAGCTGTCCATGCAAATGTGGGCACTTAATTTATGACAGCAACACTTTTGAGCAGAGGAAGGAGATGGTCAATTAGATATACATACAGAAAAAATATCAAACATGTATTTAGCAATTGCATATGTGTGGAGAAAAAAGTAATTCTGATTCCTTCCACAACCAGGCACAAAAAAAAAAAAATATGTTTTCAGTTAACTGTAGGTTTAAATGTGAAAGACCAAACAATAGAGGCCCCCCAAAAAAGACACATTAGGTGACTATCTTCATGAGCTTCAGATACAGAAAGATTTCTAAAGCAGGATAAAAAAAGCACTTAAGGAAGAGATTGATAAATCAGCTACATTAAAATGAAGACAACATTTAAAGACTGAAAAGACAAACCTTAGAGTCCAAGAAGGTATCTGCAATGTTCCAAATAAAGACTAATAAATGTATGAAAAAGTGTTCAGCTCATGTATCATCAGGAAAATGCAGATTAAAACAAGAATGAGATAATACTACCCTCCACCACCCCCGCCGTGGAAAGGCTCATATTAAAAAGAGTGTTCATACCAAGTGTTGGCAAGGATGATAAGCAACTGTTTTATATACTGCTGGAGGGAACATAAAATTAAACCACTTCTCCAGAGCCCTAGAAATGCTGAGCAAATTGTGCTACCTCCCAGGTAGACTCTCTAGTTCTACATAGGTAACATTTGTTAAGCTCACACTGGATAAACAAAAACTGAGGACGGTGCACATTCTTAAGTGATACTTTTCTGTATGATTTGCTCATAACACCATATATTTGCAGGTCAATTTCTTCTTTTTGCTCAACATTGTCCGCGTGCTTGTGACCAAAATGAGGGAAACCCATGAGGCGGAATCCCACATGTACCTGAAGGCTGTGAAGGCCACCATGATCCTTGTGCCCCTGCTGGGAATCCAGTTTGTCGTCTTTCCCTGGAGACCTTCCAACAAGATACTTGGGAAGATATATGATTACGTGATGCACTCTCTGATTCATTTCCAGGTAAGGAAGCCAATGGTGTATTTATTCAACTACTGTGTTTATTCAGCTAGCTGATTTTAACTCTAAAGCCCATGATCTTTTATTATTATTTATTTATTTATTTATTTATTTATTTATTTATTTATTATTTTTAGACAGAGTCTCACTCTGTCCACCAGGCTGGAGTGCAGTGCCACACTCTCAGTTCACTGCAACCTCCATCTCCCGGGCTCAAGCAATTCTCCTGCCTCAGCCTCCCGAGTAGCTGGGATTACAGGTGTGTGCCACCATGCCCGGCTAATTTTTGTATTTTTAATAGATGGGGTTTCACCATGTTGGCCAGGCTGGTATCGAACTCCTGACCTCAGGTAATCTGCCCGCCTCGGCCTCCCAAAGTGCTGGGATTACGGATGTGAGCCACTGTGCACGCCTGAAGAACCCATGATCTTAAATGTCATAACATTTAAGCCTCCAATTCAATGAGCCCAGACAAAATTCTTAAGGACATCAGTTTTTTTGAGTTCTTTCTTCCTGTATCGTTCTGTACCTGCTTTCCTGTCATTCCCAGGGCCCTCAGCTGGTCCCATCCAGGCATGTTCTCCCTGGTCATAGATACAGAAATTGTCAGATTTTCCTTTATAAATAAATGCTGGCTCTAGGGTAATGAGGAATTTTGCACAAAGCTGTCCATGCCTCCTGCTCTATCACCCTTCACTTGTCAGGCAAATGTCAGGAATCCATTCATGACGGTTCAGTGCTATAAAGGGAAGTTGTATCCAGGCCTCTCCTCATGTAGGAGAGAATGCATCAGACTCTCAGGGGCTGTTCTGGGCTGTCCAGTGTCTGCCACACTGGATAGAAGAATGGCTGCCCTAGTTCTATTCACTTTTCCCCAGATCTAAAGCCCCACTGAAAGCATACTGCTGTATTTGGATAGCAAGATAGGATGTGGGAGTCCTCAGCAGGAGTAATTCTATCACAGGCTCTTAGGCAGAGTTTTGCTGTCTCTATTACAAATTTCAAAATAGTTTTATTTTCTATATTAGTTTAATGTGAGGAGGAGGCCAAAATTAATAGGGCTAGAAAGTTAGTTTAGGGATTGTTTGAATAGTTCAAGCTGTGCTTTTGGCCATAGTCAAACCTTGGGCACAAGAAATCTTCAAGCAGTGACCAGGACTCAGGCTGTTTCTTAGTCTATGTCCTTATCTGAGAGGTGAACTTAGCAGTGGGTACGGTACTGCACTAGTTCACCGTGACAACACAGGACACAGACCCACAGCCATCCACTGTGACACTTGTCCTTGTAAAAGATCCCTCTACTGAATTCTACAAGGTCTCCATTTTTAAATTTTCTAAGCGTAGTGTTTTTTTCAAATTCACCATAATCAGCATATGCTGCTATAAATCTCCATGTTAAAGGGAGCAAAATATTAATTAGATTTACTAGAGCTGTCCTTTTAGCCAAACAGTGGAATCCTAACAAGAAAAAATATATTTCTAATGGAATATTCTTATAGTGCAGCACTGACTATGAATGGTAGATAATTCTTTTTCTTGCTTTTTCTCCTTCATCAAGCCTTCTCTGGGCAGTCTATCATATTGTTTACTAAACAACAAAATGAGCACAAAAATAACTTGAACTGTATTTTTTCCTTCCCTTTTTAGGGCTTCTTTGTTGCGACCATCTACTGCTTCTGCAACAATGAGGTAAGCATGCATTTCTTGTAATACTATCACTTATTTATGTAAAGGCAGCATTTTTTCCAAAGGGCCTCCATGCACATTTCATTTCATCTCACTTCTACAGTTGACCTCATAGGGTTTTGTGATTAGCAACATTATGTTTTTTCCACTACTCCAAGCTCAATCTTTTCTATGGATGTGTAGTACAATGGTAACTATGATTTAGACAGTCAGCTAATTTCCTCGGGTTGTATCTTGAACAGATCAGCACCCTTAGCAGCAATAGTGAAAGCTATTCTGGATGCCATTAGAAAGAGAAGTCATATGCCTATTCCCTTTGGAAGACCCAAGCCCTAATTAGGGCAGACAATCTCCATTCGGTTTGTACTAGTTCCTACCTTCTTTTCCAGTTGCTTGGTGCTAGCGCCCTACTACTTATTCAGAGTTTGTAAATCACCCTGAAGTTAAGATTCAAAAAGGTTTCTCAAATAATCTACAATGCGAATATTTAGATCAGTAAAATCTAGAGAGCCATAAGGCTGATCCATTCTGTTCTCAGGGCGTTTTTAGCCAGAGTTACCCTTTCTTCCAACCAAATCTTTCCTGGGAGCCAAATCTATAAAACATAAAAGTGGAGCTTCTATAGCTCCAGACGTCCTTCCAAAGAACTTCCAGAGTTCTAGGGAACATGATTCAAAATCTTCCTCATTTTTCAGGGAAGAAATCTAAACTCCAGAAAGATCATGTGATTTGCCCAATGTCACAAATGCAGTTATGGTTATAACCCAGACTGGAACACAGATTTCCTGATTTTGAATTAAATTGACTAAGTCCCAATTAACTTACCTATATCTATAATTCCTTCCTGGAGCTATGTTAGTATACTTTTTCTAGAACCACACAACTTTTAATGCCCATGCATATTCGAACATTTTAAATCAATTCCTATTAAGAATAATTCCATACAAGGCAAATCACATTTTGCCAAGACATCAATATATTACTTTCCTATTAGTAATTAGAAATGTTTCTAACCATTGTCAGTTGATAATTTTTCCCTATTCCTTTTTCTAAGTTAAATAATATTTAGTGAGCACCTACAATATTTTGCTGTTCTGTGACCTGTTCATACCTGTTTCCAACCCCAACATGACAAAGTTTTCATTGTTCCTATTCATTTTAATTATTACATTTTATTCCTTCCTTTCTTCATCAATTCATCTACCAACTCATTCTTTCCTTCAACAAAAATACATTGTGCATTTACTATTGCTAAGGGCTAGACTAAGGGCCTAGAATATAAATGAAAAGACATCCTTCCATTGCCAGCTATTAGAGTGGCAATATTTTTAGAATTTTAATATTTTTTAGAATGATAAAAGCTAATAAATGAGAAGGGCATAAGTCACCCCATGTTTATATCAATTTCTGTAAATGTATATCCATGCCTTTTGGGTTGTTTCAGGTGGCATGCAAAATAAACTTTTTCATCTAAAATAATATCAAAATAGAGCTGATATAAGAAATCAAGCTCTGTGGGGCATACCTGGAAAAACACAAGAGGATTGCATGCATTTGTAAAAATATCACAATATTTATTGCGTCTTAGCTATGATACTGTCATTGGAAGTGTCGGACATAGAAAGAAAACCCAGGGGTACCCTAGCAATTGAATGTCTCAAGTTCATTTGAGTGTATGTTATCTCTGATTTTGAAGTAAAGAAACCATTTCCATTTTCATTAAGATCCCGTTACTGGGGGAAGGTACAAGTGTGACATTTCTAATAATGTAGAAATTGTGTGCTGTGCCAAATGTAATATCACAGGTCCATGGATTTTAGGCATCTGAGTCTCAGCTGGGCATTCTGTGAATGCGTCACCTTACAACATTGAACACAGGCAGGGCACTCACACATGCGGGAAGTTATTTCCAGCTGCATCTAAGATAGGGCTGTGATGGGACGATGCCTGACTGAATACTGAGTTTTAGCAGAAATCTAGGGGGCTAACTCAATGTGATAATGAGATCACATCACATTGTGTTATGTGCAATTTAATGTTGATTATGATTGGTATGTTATCAATGAAATGATTATTTCATTTTTGAATTTTGATTCATGATTGGTATGTTATCGGTGAAATGATGATTATGAAAATGAATCATATAGAGAGTCAGTGGGTAGACTAGAAGCAGGAAAGGAATGTGAAGAATTAAAGTAACAGGAATCAGGAGATGACCATAGAGCATGCATATGTATCAAGCATTTCCTACAATGACTCTTCCAAGTGAGTAGACATTGATTATCCAAACATATCAATAAATTATTAGGTATCTAAAAGACCTGAAAGAGATGATTGCAGCTATAAAAAATGCACAATTTGTTTCCAAGAAGTAGCTTAGAAATGAAAGTTCTAACAACACACTGGATTTTCTCCCTTTTCTTGTGTCTTGCTATTCTCTGTACATCGTGGATAAAAGTTTATAGATGAAAGTAGCATGATGAGAAACATCTCCATTTAACTGTCACAAATTGGAGTGTGCAAAAGCTAAAATTTTGTTTATTTCCTGTAGCTTATCCTGCTTTCAAGAGGCTATTCCACCAGTTTCTAGTGGTTTACAGCAGTCTCTTTGCAGAAAATATTCAGTAAATTCAAAAAGCCTTTGTCCAAAAGAGCAACTGGCTGCCAAGTTATAATGCCGGCACCCACTGTTGAAGTTCACACTGGTTCCCCTTACTACTAAGCACTCAAGAGGTCTTTTCACTCTGTGGCCTCCTTGATGAAGCCACAGCCCTATTCTGATTCACGAGTTCTTTCCACCAAGCCACCTGAGGAGCCTGGAACTCCAGCTCCTTTCTTCACACCATATAGAGCCTGTGAATCTATCTTCCTTACATGCCATAGCCGTTGCTGCTCTGCTGTTGGACATAGTGCCAGCGGCAAATGTGGAGTTTCTTTTCAGGGCTAGCTATTTTCAAGACTCTGCTTTCGAATCGAAAAGAAAAACTTGATACAATGGAGTGTTCCTAAGAAAGCAAATTATCTCTTGCTTGATTTCTTCTCCCCATTTTCCCAGGTACTCCCACCATGAAGGAGAAATGTAAGGCCATTTGTGCAACTGTCTTTCTCTCCTCTTCCTCTCAGGCCTCTTAGGGCTGTGCACTCACCACTTCCCCTTCCTGTCTGTGAGGGTCTCTACCTATATCATATTCTACATGTTTTCTACCCTGTAGCTTTTAGTAAAATACTATCTGCAGACCAGTAAGATTTTCACAAGATATGCAAAGAGAAGTTTTTTTCTGTTTAGAAATTCTCCACTCAATAAAGCCTGATTTTCAATACAATATCTTTCTAGAGATATAAGAAAGTCAGCTTTGAGACTCATAGTCTCAAAGCTAAGCAATAATTTTCTTTGGTCTAGACCAGTATTCTCAAACTTGAGTGTACATCAGAATCACCTGGAAGATTTGTGAAACCAGAGATTGCTTGACCCTAGCAGCAGAGTTTCCTATTCAGTAGGTCTGGGGTGGGGTTTGAGAATCTGCATTTCTAACCAAGTTCCTAGGTGATACTGATGCTGCTGACCCAGAGACTACACTTCAAGAACCACAATTCTAGACACAATCATACTTGTGTTTCAAGCAGTGGATGACCTTGACTTAATGAATTGGGGAGATGTGGGAAATTTTATTTAAGAAAATTAAGAAATACAAAGGTTAAATGTTTTCAAAAAGTTTACCCTTATTATAAATGATACTTATGTATTGTTATCTTTTAGAACAAGGAATCTTCCCCAAACATAGGAAAACAGATAATGAATGGGAATCAAAAAGCCCTGATCATGTACTTAATTATAAATTATAGATAAATTAATAATTTAATTATAGAGCATATAGACTTTGTAAGATAAAATCAGAGACCAGTAGAGATATTGCCACTATGGCCTCCAAAAGGCTGAAAAGAATGTTGGCAACAACTTTGTAAATAATATTCACAAGTATCCCTTAGCATCTAATTAATAGGACTTAATAGGAATCTGGCTTTCAGAAGTCATATAAAATCATCTAGGCCAGGCGTGGTGGCTCACGCCTATAAGCCCAGCACTTTAGGAGGCCGAGGTGGGTAGATCACAAGGTCAAGAGATTGAGACCCTCCTGGCTAACATGGTGAAACGCCATCTCTACTAAAAAAAAAAAAATACAAAAAAAATTATCTGGGCGTGGTGGCAGGCGCCTGTAGTCCCAGCTACTTGGGAGGCTGAGGCAGGAGAATCGCTTGAATCCAGGATGCGGAGCTTGCAGTGAGCTGAGCTCGTGCCACTGCACTCCAGCCTGGGAGACAGAGTGAGACTCCATCTCAAAAAAAAAGAAAAAAACACCAAACAAACAAACAAAAAAAAGGTGTGCAATTACTTTTTAACTTCCAGGGAATTTAAATTTTTTTTTTTTTTTTTTAAATCATGATTTCTAAATCTTAAGCTCAGATTGCAGCAGGTCTGTTAGATTGTGGTGACAGTGTGAAGGAGTAGGCATTACAATCTTTGCATTCATTGGATGAAAACTCCTAGGGTAAACCTCACCTTCCATTCTGCAGCACGTAACTATAGTAGGTGCTTATAATGAACTCAGGAAAAGAAAGGTGAAAGACAAAAACGTTCAAATCCAACCATGAAGACTCTAACCTTATTTTGTTTTGTACAAATGTAGGAACTGAGACCTAAACATACCAACTTTGCAAAGCTTACTAATAGAGCCAGATGTAATAGTTATGTCTTCAAACTGTAAGACCAGGACTCTACTTCTTTAAGTTGGCAATACATAAATGGATATAATTAGGAAAAAATGTAAAATGTGTGTTGCTTTTTTAGTGAGTGATGAATTTATATAATTCAAATCTTTTTGTTGTTGTTACATTTATCCCATTTACAACTAATAACATTTCTTTTATTTTCAGGAGCAACAAAACTCTCCCTGTTTTGTTTTATTTTGTTTTTCAGATTAAATGCCCTTATTCTTGTCATCGGAGCAGCATCAGGCTCAACCTGTGATATTGTAGGAGATAATTGCCCTTATTAGTCTATAATTCTTTAGGTGTCTTTTATATGCTGCTAAGGGCCTGTTATTACATGAATAGTTTACAAATCAAAACTGGTTGCCGTCTCCACACAAAAGGATAGGTTATAATTTTAGATGCGATTAGAGAAGGCCGTGATCCTTTCTGTAATAATAACTTTAAAAAATTAAAATAGAAATCAAACCGTTTGGCCCCATGCTGGGCTGTGTACTTTATTAATATAAATGGATACTCTGATGGGAGTTATTTTAAAAGGACAGGTGAGAAATAAAAGACCTGTTTTTCATGCTGGATCCTTTTGCAAACTAACTCTAAACTCGTAACTGCCTGCTTGGATACTTGTAAATATATGTGTAAGTTTCAGCTACAAGGAAAATCTTGGTATTTAAGAGATACTGAATTAGTGGAAATTATCAGCTTCCCTTTTTTTTTTTTTTTGAGACGGAGTCTCGCTCTTTCCCCCAGGCTGGAGTGCAGTGGCGCAATCTGGGCTCACTGCAAGCTCCGCCTCCCAGGTTCACGCCATTCTCCTGCCCCAGCCTCTTGAGTAGCTGGGACAGCAGGCACCCGCCCCCACGCCCGGCTAATTTTTTGTATTATTAGTAGAGACGGGGTTTCGCTGTGTTAGCCAGCATGGTCTAGATCTCCTGACCTCGTGATCCACCCACCTCGGCTTCCCAAAGTGCTGGGATTACAGGTGTGAGCCACCACGCCCGGCCTCTCAGCTTCCTTTGACTGGAGACATTGTTTCTCCAAAAACGTGCTAAACCTGTATATTTCCCAGTTTCTCAGTGGGGCATTTGATGGTTCCTAGATTATAACCCTGGCATTTGAAGCTACGGTAATGGTACCATCCAAATAAAGCCAGGCTCTGCTTGGTACTGTGGCTTTGCCACATTCTAGCTATATGATTTTGGACACATTGAGTAACCTCAGTGCCCCATCCGTAAAGTGAAGATAATAGTGCCCTTCCCATAGGGCTGTTGTGAGGATTAAATAAGTTAATACAGATCACATACTTATGTACATAGTAAACACTCAATGAACAGCTGAAACTTGTTATTCTATCTTTTGTTCCTGTGTGGCTTTTTTCAATACAACTTTTAGCTGCATGGCCCACCTTATTCCTTAGCACTTAAAGTTTTTGTCTTTGTCTGTTTTAAATCACTTTAGATATAAAGTACCCTGCATGCAAGCACTCATTACCTCCAAAACAAAGCAAAACAAAACTCAGGATGTGTTGCCTCCATAATCTGAAAAGTCTACTATTCCAAACTATCAGCTTGCTAAATAATTCTGATTGCCATTTGTCACCTCAAACCTTACGGTTGCTGTGCTATGTGAAGATAAACTTCTCCAGCTACAACTTCTGTACTCCGTTTAGTTGCTTTTTGAGGAATCATTTGACTTTGTCTTTCCCTGAGTAAAATCTTTAAAAATATCTGAACAATATAATTCTCAGAGGAGACTGTTACTCTACTAGATACAGAAAAAAAGTATATTTGCCACAGAACCATTCAGCCTTATATTATACATACAATTTTATAACAGTAATCGGTTTTGCTGTCATTTTTCTCATCTTTCAGATTTGTACAAATGTAAAGTAGATAAAATGATTCTCCATGATCAAGTAGTTTTCATGATTTATTTCACATTATATATTCCCCAGTTTCTCTCTCATGTGTTTAGCTGTCATATGTGAGTTTGGCAGCAGAATGAACTAAGGATGTATTAATAAATTGATGCAAATATTTTTAGGTAAGCTTGTCATATGTACAAAGCAATAGAAACTCAGAAACACAAAATAGAGATTATTGCAATAATCTCTTTTTTAGTTTTGTTCAGCTATAGAGAAAAGCAAGAATTTTGGAGACAACAGGAAGGAGGAACTTATCTACTAAGTTGAATTTGGTTCTATAAAAAGCAGAGCTAGACAAGCAAATTCACTGTCTGTGATACTGTTTTCAGTTGTGGTTATTATATTTTTCATATTTAGAGCTTTCTGATGTTAACATTCACCTCTTGTGTTCAATATATAATTTATTGTATTTATAAAACAAGTCCGGAAAGTTTATTTACGTTTTAGAAGTCTTTCAAAAGAAAGAGATTGAAATCTTATTCTTAAGAAGTTGTCATGGCATTAACCAGAGGTGTGTCTGGCATACCCGCTCTCAAGTCATGTCAGACAAGGAAAAGTTCACGGTATGAGGCTGTTATCATAAAATCCAGAACTGTGCTATGGTTTACATATATATTTTTCATGTGCACACTTAAATAAAAACTTCTGCCTTATCAGGGATGGTAGCATATAAAAAGTTTTATCAACCTTTCTCCCTATTATGACATGCATACCACATTACCTGGTAAACCAAATCAACTTTTATTCACTAGATATGAAAGCGAAAGAAACCTGTTCTTAAAACTAGCAAACAACCTTGTCAGGGGTAATTTAGGCAAGTAACTCAGTTCTTCCATTTGCAAATTCTTCTTCCAAGTATATTCTGTGGCCACAGCATACACAGCCCAGCCCTTTAGATCAGAATTACAATTTAAACTTTCTTTAACATCTGATAAGCTCTAAGAATGAGGTTCATAAACTTTGCATGGATCGTTTCTGACTATCATATAAAAACCAGGCTGCTTTTTCTCTTCCAGGTCCAGACCACCGTGAAGCGCCAATGGGTCCAATTCAAAATTCAATGGAACCAGCGCTGGGGGAGGCGCCCCTCCAACCGCTCGGCTCGCGCTGCAGCTGCGGCGGAGGCCGGCGACATCCCGGTTTACATCTGCCATCAGGAGCCGAGGAATGAACCAGCCAACAACCAAGGCGAGGAGAGTATTGAGATCATCCATTTGAATATCATAGAGCAAGAAACATCCGCTTGAATGTGAAGCAAACACTGCATCGTGATCACTGAGCCATCATTTCCTGGGAGAAACACCATGTGTTTAAAGTGTTCTCCATCCTCCCAGGAACCGAACATATCATTTGTGAAGAATTATTCAGTGAATTTGTCCATAGTAAATTTGAAGAAAGTTAATCTTGGTACTATTGCTTTGGGAGACAGTCTAGGAATGGAATCTCCCACTGCAACTTGTGAACTCCATCATTCATCCAGGACTGAGATGCAAATGTCACAGTAGTGCAAGCAAAGTATCAAAGAAAAAACAATGAAATTGACCTAGTTCAGATACAGGGTGCTCCTTGTCAATTTTGAGCCATTTATAACTTTGAAAAATTAAAATCATTGTCAATATTTTTCTTTTTAACTCTGGATTTTGAATTAGAATATTTCTGTATTTGGCTATGGATCTGATTTTTATTTTTTTTAATTTCAGTCAATTCTGATGTTACTGAGATGTTTTACCATCCTTACAATGTAAACCACATGAACTACGTGACCTCTGCAAGACAAAGTGGCTTTCTAATAGAGAGATTACTAAATATGTGAAGAAAAATACCTGCATTTGGCAGGAAGATGTATGCTTTGAATGCAAAAGAAATTTAGAGTCAATTTGCTGGAAACATTACATGCTCAACTTGGTTTTGGATAATCCTGTCCATTGGGCAGGCCCTAGCTGTTGTAAAGAATTGGTCTTAATGTTGAATGTACTTTAGTTGCTGACATTTATAAACTGAGAGGTCACAAAAAAATCTATCACTAAAAATTTTTACAAAACTGCCAAAAATATAATTCTTAGTGGAAGACAATACTCTCTTTAAAGAGAGTTTTCCACTTTCCTAAACTCCAGGATTTATAAAGCAAATTACTCCAAGGTTTATAAAGCAGATTACCTCTTGCCCTTGGGTGCTATCTAACAGTAAGAGATAAATTTGTTGAAAATTGGTAATTAAAAGACTCCACATAAGTCCATTAACTGCTTTCTACCCAGCTTCAAAGCTTAACAAGATCTCAGTTTTTTTCCAGGAAGATTCAGGAGGGCTAATTATAAATCATTTTGTGGTTGACCTCTTGTTTCTTGTTATTACCAAAATAGGAGGGGGAAAAAAATTAGCTGCTACAAATTTAACCATAAATTAATTCATGTTTAACGGTTCTCATTAAAATCCAGTATTGTATTCCCATATCTCTCTTTACTTCCCAGTATAAGATTTTTGACAATCCTGAATAAACTAGTATCATTAATGGCACCTGAAATTAGTTTGTGAATTTGCAACAGTAATCAGAGTTACCATTATTTAATTTGTACACTAAATGAGGAAGTACATTGAAACCCTCCAAATCTCCAGTCTCATCTGTGTCATATTTTGCCACTGCCTTTCAGAAGTGATTTAGTTGTGGAAAGATAATAAATTGATTTGTTATGGTTACATATTTAGTGCACCCAGAGAAAATTATATTTCTACAGAGAAAGTGAATTTTGGATACTAAAGTAGTTTAAGTCTCCTTTACTGAGTGTAAGGGGGGAATTGAAAAGAAGGTATTTTTCCAATCACAGTGTTATGTAATGTTGTTCTATTTTTGTTTACAAGCATGGAAAACAGAGTATTTCTGGCAGCTCTAGTACAAATGTGATAATATATTGCTAAAACATTTTAGATGTTATTATGCTAATATAGTAGTGGCTGAAGAAAACAAAATAGCTTATTATAGAATTGTGCACAGTTCTGCCCAAATTATGTGAAATGTTTATGCTATGTATATGTATAAATTAATACAGAGCATGTTAAAAGCAAAAAGATGTATATTTGCATATTTTTCTAAAGAAATATATTACTCATCTTTTCATTCATTCATCTCGTCTCCTGTTCATTCCATGCTGTTTTTCATTTCAGCCATGGGCTGCTAACATCCCATCTCGTTTGTACTGTAGGAGTGGGAAAGATAATCTAAAAGCATAGGTTAAAAACCATACGCAAACATATCAAATTTATTATCTTTATTAGTACAACCATCTTTAGTCTCAATTTGATTGTAAATTCAGTGACACTGTTCTCATGCCCTTGATAACCCAACACCACACACCAGTGTCAATCAATATTGCATAAGTTTAGGAAGCACAGCGAAGAAATCAAGTGTAAGAAAGTATTATATCCTTTTATTCTTGTTTTTTTATTCATTATTCTGGGACCAGACTTGATCTGTCCAATATCACATCAGATCATTAGAATTGTTACAATCATTGGCTTTTAATATAGTTTGGGAGAGAAACTAAGGCTAGATGAAAGACAACTAATTAACTATCATTAGAATGCATAAAGGCCACCACTGGAAAGGTTTTCAGATCTGGAAAGCATGAAATGGAAAAAATGACGATTAAATGAGAACTCTGATGGACTAATAAAGGGGAACAGGAGCAATTTGTAGATTCTTCTCATTATGGGAGAGCATCCAAAATTGTGGCCTCATGAGATCTGGGAAACTTCTTCTGAAAAGATATGTAAGGATTACATCTTTCCCTTACATTCCAGGGGTGAATATAAATAAATATTATTATCATTGTGATCTTAAAGAACAAAACAATTTCGCATCATACCATAAAACATGATTTCTCAAGAGATAAATTTGTACTCAGATGGTCAGCTTCCCTTTAGCTTTGGCTCATATTTTTTGACCCAAAATAGGCTTTTAGGTGCAAATGAATATTACAGTTACTGCAGGGGAAAATGTTGGAAAAAACATGATAAAAATGCTATCATCATTGAGCTACAATCATTCTCATTCATCACTTCGCTCATTAGACATCGATTCAACAGATATTTCATATGCCTTCCATCCTGCTATATAACAAATACTTATTAATAGCAGTTATCAAGGCAAACCTTCTTTACAGTAGGGACTGCTTCTTTTCGGTGCAGGGGTAAAAATATAAACCTTCTAAGTGAACTATTAGCCTAAAACCATAACCATTGATATCTTTGGGGTGGAAGAGCAAAGTGAAACATGTGGCTGGAGGTGGTAGCTGAGTGTGATCTTCCCTCCTCATTAATACTGGACATAAGAGCTCTAGTTGTAAGAAACATTCTCAGAACAAGATCTCAGGACAAAGGCTCAAGCGGGAGTCACTTTCTTGACAAGGTCTAAAATGGTGGTTCTTTCATTGGTTAAATTACAGCTTAACTAGTTATCACAGGAGTTAACACTTTTGGGTTTAAAATGAAATTATTTATGAAGAGGGTAGATCAGAATCCATATTTAGAAGAGTAATCAGGTAAACGCAGAAGGAAATTCTATTTGCTATTTTGACAGAGTAAACAAGATGACATTCCTAACTTAAGCTTATGAAAGTTGATTTACTGAACTAATAACTTGTATCAAGCAGGAGGTTACAGGAAACAATAACTGGAAACATGCAAAAAAGGATGATAATATGTGCATGTGAGGGCAAAAGAAGACAGAGAAGCAACGTTTGCAAATTAAGAACTAACTGTATTTCTGATTTTTTTCTTCTGGACATGAAATTAACATTTTTTAATATCTCTGAATAATATGAAGCATTGAAGGAAAGAAAACACAGTCACTGAAACTGTAACCAACAAAGGACAGGAAGATTTTCTAATATTATGTCTTCCTCCATTCAGATTAGCAAGCATCTCTGACAATTTTCAGAGATTTTTCATTATCTTAAGCATTGGCCAGCCAGTCTCTTAAGTCACTGATCAATGCCATTTTCCATTTACAGAAATTCAATGCCTTCTATCTAGCTTTCCCAGAAATCCTCCACTGAGACACAAACTGTGCCATGCCTCTTCACCTATTGACCAGCAATGTCACCTCATGCCACTACAGTCTCTTTTGCTTAAGAGAACTGTTATTTTAATTTGAAGAATTTTGCCTCCAATAAAATCTCAGAGTCTTGCAGGTGAAGTGCCTAGCAGAAATTCAATACAACCAGTTGAGATGTCTTTAATGAAAACAAAAAAAAAAAATCAGAAAAGATTGAGAAATCTGTCTCCATCCAAACCTGCCAGACTGGCTTATTAAAGCTAGCACACTGGTCTCTCATACAGAGGCCATACAACTAAACATAGAACCAGCTGTAAACTCCTGAAATTTCTGCACAGCAGAATTGGTGGCTAGTCTCTGTGCAGCAAGCATTTCTCAGGATGTAGTCTCTTCTTCACTGCACTCATGCATTGCAGCTTCTGTATGCTCTCATCAGGAGAGGAATATTGTGAGTTTAAAGATGTTCAGAGCATCCCTTTAACAGAGATGATTTAAGAAGAGAGAGATATAAACACTAATCATTAAAACACAGTACTCAATATAATAGACCAACAGACATTAGCTCACCTACTCTTTATAACATTATGAATCCTCTCTTTATGCCCATTTTAGTGATGAGAAAATTACATGGAAGAGAAATTGAGTAAATTTTCTACCACAATCACACAGTTAGTAAGTAGTTGAGCTAGGATTTGAATCAAGGCTGCCCAATGCCTCTGTTTTTTAAATTGCCATCTTGGTGGGTCCTACTATACCAGCCAGCCTCTCGAGGTAAGGCTGTTCCCCTTTTTTAGCTCTAAAAAATATTACATATTAAATTCCCATTGGTTAAGAGAAGAGAGATCATTCACAACATGTATCTTTTTGGTCCAAAATTAACTTAATTCATTGTCCATAGATTCCTTCAACCAAAAAGGGTCTTCAGATAAAATTTATTTTTCTATAGTTTTAAGGGTTTCTTTCCATAGTGGTGATTTCTATTTTTAGCCAGCGAGTTTTTCACACACAACACTAGTTTGCAGCTTCTTCACTTTGAATGTTGTCTTTGTGCAGATATTTGAGAGACAAAACATGTTTTGGGAAACTTTTCATGGTTTCTCAATGGACACACTAGTCCTAATTTGAGGCCTGCAAAAAAGCTACCTATAAGTAGTCAGGGCTGCACTTAATACTGTTTATAGCAGGATTTCCACTTATTAGTTTCGAGAATTGGGGTCTGAATAGACAGGATGATGAAGATTATGAATATCATTCACCATTCAACTATGCAACAGATGATGAAAAAAGGTAGAGAGTCAAGAAAGAAGAGACACTGAGGAACGGGAGGGACAGCCAAGACAGCAAACTGGTTAGGGTGCTAGTTCCTCTCTGGACACCAACCCTGGACAAATTATAGAAGCAGAGAGGACACACGCATGTCAATAATTAGTAATTAATTTTAAAAGAAACAACAGAAAAAAAGGAAGCCAGTGGGATTACTGGTTATAAAAATGCAATATCTGAAGTAACACTATACAGAATAGTTGAAATAAATAACACGTGATAATTTAGACACTACTTAAAAATTAATTAGTGAGCTAAAAACTAGATTGGAAATCTCAGAGGAAGCAGGAAATAATAAAGAGATAGAAAGCAGAAAAGAAAAACCAAGAGATATAGAAATTGAATTGCCAATATCAACAGTAGGAGTACCAGAAAGACACAAAAAATGAAAATGGAGAAGGGGACATATTCACAGAAATATGTTTTAAAACTCTCTATGGTTAAAGACAAAAGACCTCAACTAGCAATAACTCCAAAATTGCCAAATAAATGCCCCAAGCTAAAAGTTTTGTTAATATTGACAAGATTAGGACAAGAAGAAATCATGACCTGAGAGCAGGATAAAGATTCTCTCTTTTAGGAGAAAGAGAGAGATTTGGTAATTTAAAAAGCAGTGTGGGTAACTTAAAGAGTATGGGTCTTAAGATGTGTGAAATAAGTCTTCATATAACATTTATAATAAGGTGATCATAGTTGCCAATTAGAAACAGAGATTCTCTTATTGGAAAAAAAACAACCCACAGACAACAAGAGATGCACATAAGACACAAAGCACAACAGGCAATAAGAGATATACATAAGAAAATAAGAAAACAAAAGATCAAAAATGAATGGGAAAAGTTATGCTGGGGAAATATGAACCAAAATAAATTGGAAGTTCTCTCTTAATATCTGACTAAATAGAATTTTGTTGTTGTTGAGATGGAGTTTCGCTCTTATCGCCCAGGCTGAAGTGCAGCGGCACGATTTCGGTCCACGGCAACCTCCACCTCCCGGGTTCAAGTGATTCTCCTGCCTCAGCCTCCCAAGTAACTGGGATTACAGGCAGGCACCACCACACCTGGCTAATTTTTTTGTATTTTTAGTAGAGATGGGGTTTCTCCATGTTAGTCAGGCTGGTCTCGAACTCCCAACCGCAGGTGATCCACCCTCCTCAACCTCCCAAAGTGCTGGGATTACAGGAGTGAGCCACTGGGCCTGGCCCTAAATAGAATTTAGAACAAAAAAAATATCATAAAGGGCAGCATCTTGATACATTCAGGTTGCTGTAACAGCACACCTTAGACTGGGTTATTTAGACAGAAGTTGATTGCCCACAGTTCCAGAGGCTGACATGTCTAAGACAAAGGCACTAACAGATTTGGTGTCCGGTGAGGGCCTGTTCCTCAAAGAAGTTATCTCCTATTTGTCTTCCCATGGTGGAAGAAGGTAAAGGAGCTTCATCAGGCCTAATTTATGTATTTATTTATTTGTTTATTTATTTATTTATTTATTGAGATGAAGTCTCGCTGAGTCGCCCAAGCTGGAGTGCAGTGGTATGATCTCTGCTCCTGCAACCTCCGCCTCCTGGGTTCAAGTGATTCTCCTGCTGCAGGCTCCTGAGTAACTGGGATCTCAGGCCTCTTTTATAAGAGCACTCATTCCATTCATGAGGTAGGCACACTTATGACTTTATCACTCCCAGAAAGGCTCCACCTCCTAATACTGCCACATTGGGGATTAAGTTTTAACATACGAATTTTCAGAGAACACAAACGTTCAGATCCTATGGATGATTTATCAGTTGTAATTGAGGATTTTAACACATCTGTCTTAGAATATGCTAGATCAAACAAATAAAATATTAGCAGTATGGTAAAATACCTGAAAAAATACAACTGTCAATCTCAAGCAATTAAAAATATACCAAACGCTATACTCAACAAACAGGAAATGTGCATT